GCGTCCTGGCCTCCGGGATTGGGTGCGGCCTACCTGGCTCTTTGGGCGCTTTTCGGCTGGGAATCGCGGTGGTATGAGTCCGGCCCACTCTCGGACCCCATAGAGCAATATTTTTAGAATGCTTTTTATCACTTAAATGAATCTTGTTTTCCACAGTCGGCAAAATCCTCTGGGTCTCATCATTGCCTTGGATGAGAACAGAGAAGCAAAAGGAGAGCTCTTTTGGGATGATGGGGAATCAAATGGTGAGTATTGTTGAGAATGGTGCTGTTCCCACCCTGCATCTTTGATTTATGGCCCTTCACTTCTGCTGGTCCTTTGTTAGTGTGAGAAGTCTCCCCACACATAGTAGCAAAAGTCCTGTTTGCTGCATTCAGGAGCAGTGAAAGATGAACCACAGTTGGAAGGAAAACTCATTTCTACTAATCAGATTTCTCCCTTTGGCCAGTGATCTATAACAGGTTCTTACTTTATTGTCACTGGCACCTGGAATATACATTTTCCAAGACTATCTGTAATTCATTCATTTGTTATATAAATATCTCCACCCAAAAGAAGGCAAGGAGAATATCCTTCTCTAGGGCATATACATCTAGCTAGTCCTTTCAGCAGTTTTTAAGATGAGGAATACTAGCAATTTTTGTGGTTGCAGCTTAGGAAATAAATTTCTTTGAGGCATGTGTCTTAAAAGCACTTGGAGAATGTTTTCCAGGTTACAATAGGAAAGAGGGAAAAACAGGTGCTTGGCTAAGCAGACTCTGTTAATAATATTGTCGTTCTCAAGTTACAGTTTAAAAAAGCTTCTCATTCATTAAAAACATTTAGGCATCATATAGAGATTGAATATATTTTGGACAAAGAACATATATATTGTTTAATGAGAAAGATACATATATATATCTATCTATCTTGTTTAATGATATATATTATAATAATTACCACAATCTAATTAGCACATTAGTCTCTACCAGGGTTGTACATGAAAATCCTTGAACTTGTTCATTTTATAACTAAATTTATAACCTTTAACCAATATCTTAGCATTTTTGTATTCTTCTGTCCCTAATTGACCTAACTGATGTAACTTCTGCTTCTGTCAAATTATCTTTTCTCGTATTCTACATATAATGGAGGTCATATGGTATTTTTCCCTATGTCTGGCCTACTTTACTTAGTAAAATGTGGTCCAGATTCATTCATATTGTCACAAATGGCAGAATTTACTTCCTTTTTAATCATTGTATAGTACTGTATTTTATATAGTGTATATATATATATATATATATATATCCATTTATCTACAATTGAATGTTTAGGTGGTTTCCCTATTTTGGCAACTCAGGGTTGAAATAAAAAAATTCTAGGAAAAAACTAGGAAAAATACTCTTTGATATTAGGTATGGCTGTGTGTTTTTGAAAATGATACCAAAAACAGAGGCAAGAAAAGCAAAACATAACAAATGGACTGTTGCATTCTAAAAAGCTTCTGCATAACAAAAGAAATAGTCAACAAAATGAAAAGGGAACATATAGTACTGGAGATAATATGTGCAAACCACTTACCTGCTAGAGGTTTAACATAAAACATATAAAAGGAACTCTTAAAACTTTTTTGGGGAGGTTTTTTTTTTTGGTACCAGGAACCGAACTCACGGCCTTGCACTTGCCAGGCAGGCACTGTGCTGCTGAGCTAAACTCCAGCCCCTGGAACTCTTAAAACTTAATAATGAGGAAATAAATAACCTGATTTTAAAGTGGGCAAAGATCTGGAATAGATGCTTTTCCAATGAATACACATAGCTGGTTAATAGGTATATAAAAGGTGCTGAATATCACTAAACAGCAGAGAAGCACAAATCACAATTCACAATGAGATATCACCTCCTATCTGTTAGGATGGCTGAAATGAAAAAGGTAAGAGCTTGCAACCATGGACAAGGGTGTTGAGAAAATGAGATGAATCTTTGTACACTATTGGTGGAAATGTAAGTTGGTAAGGCTGTTGTACTAAATGGTACAATATTTTGAGGGTCCTTAAAACATTAAAAATAGGGCTACCGTAAGATTTAGTAATCCCACTGCTGCGTTTATATCCAGAATCTTTGAAGTCAGATGTCAGAGAGACTTGTGTCTTCCATGCTTACTGCAGCACTGCTCCCAAAAGGTGAGATACGGAAACAGCCTAAGTGACCACTAATAGACAAATGAATAGAGAGTTTGTGGTAAATATACAGAATTAATACCATTCAGTCACATAAAGAAGGAAATCCTTTCATTTGTGACATCAAGAGTATCTTTAAGGGCAGGCGGCTGAGATTTATTCTGTGATGGACAGGCCAGTCTGACTTGACTTCCTTTTTCTTTCAGATACTGTGGTCAATAACATGTACCTTTTATGTGAGTTTTCTGTCACCGAAGTGAGTAGTACATTTATATGAATCTTAGCAGTGGGCAGTTGACCGTTAACATATATGGGTGGTGTGTGTGTAATTATATTTGTAACTTCATTTGTATTAAGGAAACATTTCCAGTCATGACTTAACAACTCCCAATAATTGCTTCATCTGTGTTGTCAAAAAGTGACAATAATATTGATAAAAACAACCAGAGTTTCAAATATAATTTTCTAAAATGTCTCTGTGTATGCACATCCCTAATGTTTTCCTTAGAATATTTTTAAAATAAGCTTTTAGTCCTTAAGCACACTTAGTAGAGAAAGCTGAGGCAGTGAGAGCAGTGGGGGGATCTATAGCATTTGAGTGTTTGGAGAACCTGTGCATTTCAGACCTTTGTGTTTAATTGTCTGCAGAACCGCTTGGATGTGAGGATTTCTCAGTCAACCTACAAGGACCCTAATAACTTAGCATTTCAGGAGATTAGAATTCTCGGGATACAGGAACTTGCCAATGTTACTGTGAAACACAATGGTGTCCTGACTCAAGCTTCTCCTAATGTCACTTACGATCCTAATCTGAAGGTAAAACTGCGTTTGGTTGAGGTGTTTATTTTAGTGTTCTTCATAGCATTATCGTGTTTCTTCCTGCCAAGACTGTATGGATTTTGAGGGACCAGAAAGCACCTTCTGTGGTGGGGAAGTCAGAAGGTTGGGAAAGAAAATGAGATTGAGGAGCTGGCCAGAGCTAGAGGGGGACAAGGAGCTGCTGTGGGACCAGCTGAGGTAAAAGGGTCTTTCCCTTTGTGTTGTCTTCTCCGCACCTGGGCATTGTGCTGTTTCCACTGACTTCCCTTCCGGGAAACAGTTTTGAAGGGCACAAGAAGAGCAGAGTGAGGAAGTGGGGAATGGCCTGAGGAAAAGGGATTGGGAAACTTATGGGAGATGCTGACAGGTAAAGGTGGGAGGAAGAAGTCCTATGAATTGGGCATCTGAAGGTCCCTGTATTTTAAATGTGATACACAGAGTTCACTCCAATGTATACATTTTCAAGAAATACTTTAAAACAAAGAGCTTGGTAATCCTACATAATTACTGCTTATTTGATTAGATGATAACAGTGAAATAAATTTTCATCAGTTATGATGAGACTTTACCCTATTGAACATCTCATAATCCTCTTATCTGATGCCTTAACATTATGAAGACTTTTTTCCCCAAATAATCCTGATCATAGGTATTCAGAGTTCCTGGCGTCAGAGGTGCTGAGCCTGCATGGTTTCTGAGTGTTCTTCTAAACTTGAGAAATCTAAGTAGCTAACACTTTCATTTTAACCATAAGTTGAGCATGCACACATTATAATGTTAGTGTGTTTGGTTATGAATACCTCAAAGTTCAAGACATTTTAAATATGTATATGTGAAAACAAACTCAATCCTTTTTAGTCAGATAAATTAATTAACATAGGATAGTATTAACTTTTACATTGTTTGAATTTGGATAGAGGGAATCCATAATTTACCTGAATGAAATTTTGTAAGGTGGCAGGAAATCAAAATGAATATAGAGAAAATGTTAACACCTGTCTTATTTGATATTCAAAGTTTAGTGGAATCATTGAGCCAAGCCTCTCAGATTAGGCAAGGCAAGAGCTGGGCCTTGAAAGATGGAATAATGAACTGGTTTTGGGAGTTGTTTTGGCTGTAAGTGGCTAGGAATGCCAAATGGTAATAAATTAGGATTTGTTTTTTAATCTGCAATTAGAAGATTAGAAAACAGAGAAATGCTACCATTGGTTCAGTGCTTTAGAGTTGTCAGGATTGAGGTCTTTTTTTCTCTTATTGTTGAAAATGAGTGCTCAGTTTCATTCACCATAATCCTGATGTAGGATAAGTTAAAAAGAAAAAAAGAGGAAAATTGGTAAGGGTGATGGGGCAAGACTTCAGATTAAGAAAGGACTGTTTGATCAGAAATTCCCAATGAACTTGAATTTATCTTTTCATGGCCGTAGTTCTGATGTGTTCATTAAAAATGTATCCATTTAAACTGGATGTGGTGGCACAAGCCAGTTATCTCAGTACTTGGGAGGCTGAGACAGGAGAATTGTTGCCAATTTGAGGCCAGGTTGGACTACATAGTGAGTTCAAGGCCAGCCTCAACTACAAAGCAAGGCCCTCTCTCTATGAAACAAACAAAAAATAATTAACTATTAACTGGGTAGTTTGCTAGAAGGAGGAAATTATTTTTTATTTTAAAGTAAAAAGATATCTGGGCGTGGTGTTGCACACCTGTAATCCCAGCACTGGGGAGGCTGAGGCAGGAAGATCATTGCAAGTTTGAGGCCAGCTTGGGCTACAAAGTGAGCTCAGCCCCAGCCTGAACTGCATAGCGAGATCCTGTCTCAAAAAGACAAAAAAAAAAAAAAAAAAAAAAAAAAAAAAGGGAGAGAGAAAAAAAGAAAACAAAACAACAAGAACGAAGATTAAAAATAAAACAACACAAAAACAGTAAAAATGGTAGAGAATTTCAAAACAAGATGATAGGGAATTAACAATGGTTGTTATGTAACATACTGATATCTTCATGGAAGTTGCTCAGATTATCAGATGTAAGAATGAAAGACTGACCAAACAATTAAAGAGAATAAAAAATAATCAAAAACTATTAGAAATGGAAAGAGGAAATATTTTATATGCTCTGTGAGGTAGGGCCTTATAGGAAGTAGGGGTGGAGGATGGGATTAGTAGCACAGGGAAGGGCAAGGTGATTTATACTAAGAGACTGGGAGAAGGATGCTAATCCTCCAAATGTGTTCATAGTGGTCCTGACAAATAAGAACATTAACTACAGAAAAGGCTACTTAAAGAAGAGTTAAACATAACACCAATACTTTATATGCAAAAATATGAAATATTTGAATTGGTATGGATGATTCAGGAAAGATTTCCAATTTTTAATATCTGGGCTTGGAGAAATGAAGAAGATAGAAATTAGAAATCAAAGGAAATGTTATGATTTATGTAACTTGCCAGTTTTTCAGTTGATAAAACAAACCCAAAGAATTTAAACAGTTCATCTAAGATTCCATACCAAAATAGGAATCAGACCACAGTCATATGATTCTGATATGTTGTTCCACCACTGCAGACCAACAGAGACATTGGTTTGGGAAGTGAAAGGAAAGAAGATAAGCTCAATTTGGAAGGCGCTGACTAAATAAAGAAGGATAAGGGGAGACAAAGAAAGGAAAGAAAAGCTTTTATTTGACTCCTTGTTGCTGGAAAGTAATGTACAAGTTTTGACAGAGTAGTAACATTTGATGTGTTTCCACTGAGCAGTCCCTCTGCCATACACACAGCTTCATTCTTACAAATTATACAGCGTGTTAATTGGATTGGTGAGAGTCTAGTATCATTTCTATTTGTTTTATTAAAAAAAGGTTTAGATTTACAAGGCCTTTGTGCTGAGGATGAATTTCCTGTGACTTCTCCATTCCTACAGGTTGCCATTATCTCAGAAATTAACCTTGTCCTGGGAGAAGCGTACACAGTGGAGTGGAGCACAAACATAAGGGATGAAGAAAAAATAGACTGTTACCCCGATGAGCATGGCGTTTCTGAAGCAAACTGTGTTGCCCGTGGCTGCCTCTGGGAGGTAAGCATGCTGGTGGCGTTAGTGCTCACGGAAATCCTCTATTCTTAACCTACATTTCCACACATCTATTTACAGTCCAGAGGAAGATAAGGCTTCCAAATGAGCCTGATCTGAGAGTAGTTCTCCATGTTTTTAGTAAGTGTTTTCTTCAGAGATCAGTAATTGAAAATTTTGCCACTACCACAATACCTAAGTAAAAATGTGAGATGGTGACTTTATCACCTTGTAAATTGCCTTTTCTATCAGTATTTGGTAACTCTGGGGCCCTATGCTGATCTGTGATATTGTCTTGTTATTTCAGGAATCCAACTCTCCTGGGGTCCCTTATTGCTATTTTGTCAACGATTTGTACTCGGTCAGCAATGTTCAGTATGACTCCCATGGAGCCAGCGCTGACATCTCCTTAAAGTCTTCTCTTCACACCAACGCCTTCCCCTCCACTCCCGTGAGCCCCCTCCGCCTGCAGGTGACCTACCATAAGGATGAAATGCTGCAGTTTAAGGTAAACATGGTTTATGTGTCAGGTACTGACACGGCCCTTTTTGATTTCACTATTTTTTTCCAGTACTGAGGATTAAACCCAGGGTCTTTGCACTGCCTTACATCTGCATCCCTTTTTTTATATTTTAAGATAGGGTTATGCACAATCATTCAGTTAACTAGACTGGATGTGAAACTTGATTTTCTTGCCTCAGACTCCTAGAATGTTGAAATTATAGGCATTTGCAACCACACTCAGGGAGTTTACTCTTAAATTTGGTGCTGCAATAGACTAGATCCTAATCCTAATCCAAAAGAACAACGAGAAATTGTTAATAGAAGCAAGTGATGTGTCCTAATTTGCATTTGAGGAGATTGTAGTGGCTGCTCTAAGGAAAATAGGTAGGAGAATGAGAAATGGAGAGGACAGGTAGGAGCCTTCCTTTGGGTAGGACAGGTAAGGGATTGATGCTGTTATGTTTGCATCCTCACCAGAGATGGGCATGGATTTGAAATGAGTGAACTTGCTTGTCCTCTCCTTAACTCCTGCTTACACTGCCTCTTGATAAAGTAGTAGCTCACTTCCAAATATGTACCTCTTTTTGAGCCCACTTTTATGCTCCATGTCTTTGTCTTTCTTATTTCTTTGCGAGAAAGACATAGTCTCATTTTGTACGTGGTTAATGTCTATAAAACTTTAAGACTCAGTGTATATTTTTCTGAGTGTCAGTCTCCCAGAAACAGTGTTAAGTATTTTCTTCCCTATAATCTCACAGCACTTCTACCTAGTTCCGTATTAACTCATATCACTATAGTGCTGTGACTGGCTCTCTTCAAATTAAAATACGAAATTTTCAAAATAATAATTTTGACTTAATCAGTTTAATGTGTCCAGTATAATGTCAAGCAGCTATATAGTAAATACCCAGTAAAGCAATTTATATACATTTTTCAGCAAGGACATTAATCTAAGTGTTCATGCTTTTTGTGGGGGACTATTTTCCACTTCCAAATATTTTTTAAGTGTTTACATAGCCATATACCCACACACAAAAGTGAATGTATTCATAATTAACATACTGACTTCTGAGTATATTTTATGGTAGCACCGATATCAAAGTGAGAGTGTTATTATGTTAGAGGACTTAAAATGTGATGTAACACATGCAGCTCAAAATGCTAAATCTAACATTGTTTTTTGATATGCTAGTTAAATCCCAGGTATTGGGAGATTACAGAAAACAACAACAATAAAAGATAGCATACAGACTCTGTCAAAGATGTAAATATTCTGCTAGGATATAGATTTCAAGAGTACTATTATTGAATAAAAGTCTTTTAAAAAAATTGACAGTAATGGCTCTACATCTGTATCTTGTGATGTTTTGATCCTTTTATATATTACAAACTGATCAACTTAGGATATTTAGATTATTCATCATTTCACATATCTCTCATTCCTTTAAAATGAAAGTATTAAAAATCTTTACTTCTAGCTATTTTGAATTCTATAAAGCAATATCATTAACTATAATCACTCTGTATAATGGAACAGCAGAATGTTTTCCCCTTTATATATCTTATCAAAATTCAATTTCCTTTCCCTAGATTTTTGACCCCAACAACAATCGCTATGAGGTCCCAATCCCACTGAACATACCCCGGGTTCCATCCAGCTCCTCTCAGAGTCGACTCTATGACGTCCTCATTAAGGAGAATCCATTTGGGATTGTGGTTCGCCGGAAGAGCACAGGCACTGTAATGTAAGTGGTTCCTACGGTGACTTGGAATTGTTGGTCACCTACATTTTCCTTGTTAACCTTTTGTCCTGGATACATCCTGGCCCAAATCACAGCACTGTTCATTTCCAGATCTGTGAATAAATTATTTCCTTCAGGTCTCTTCTTATGAGCCCAACAATAATTGCTAAGGCAGTTACATGTTCCTGGGAATTCCTCCAACTAATAAATGTTTATAGGGTGCCTTCTGCGTGTTACATACTGTTATATGCTGTGGTTAGGACTGAAAGAGTCTTTCCTCTAATGATACCAAAGAGAGTTTAATTATAACCTACAGAGAAAGTCCGATTGTGATAAGGTGCTGGTAGGAAGAAGAGTAGATTAAATAAGAGTTGTCATGGATCTCTGCTTTTGATACCATGGTTGTTGGTGGTCTCTAAAGAGGCGACATTTGAAATAATATGTGGATGTGGAGAAGGATGCACCCACATGAGCTTTGGGGAAGGGAAAGACTAGTTTAGATAAAGGGAATAGTAAATGTGTAGGCTACACAAAAGAGGAAACTTGGCGTGCCCAGCAATAGAAAGGCCTAAAGGAATACTTGGGAAGTGGGAGGTGGGGCTGAAGCTGGCGTGTTAAGTGGGTTCAGCTCAGGTGCACCTTTAAAGAGCATGTGTACCGTTTTCATTAGAAGCCACTGAAGAATGTAATAGAGGAATGGCACCATACAAGGCTGCTTTAGAAATATCACTCAGTAAGCAAGAGGGGATGGAGTGAGAGCACAGGGCAGGGCTGGCATGGAGGGTGGCAGGTGAGACGGTGGGAAATGACTGGCTTTGCTGTTGTAGGACGAGCTGTGAAAGGAGCAGTGGTAGAGAAAGAGGAAGGGAGGCTGACTAAGGCTTTCAGCAAGGGCACTGTGTTTATCTTAGCCGTAACTTTGTGTTCTACTTGGAAGAGGAACAGGGTCTGCTGGTGGGAGGGAAGCAGCAGTTCTGTTGTCCTTGGAAAGTCAGTGCTCAGACTCAGTAGGAAAGGTGAAGTTCCTCTGAAATCTACCTTTCTACTTCCCAGCTGGGACTCGCAGGTCCTGGGCTTCACCTTCAATGACATGTTCCTCCGCATCTCCACCCGCCTGCCCTCCTCCTACATCTATGGCTTTGGGGAAACGGAGCACACAGCCTTTCGGAGAGACCTGAACTGGCACACGTGGGGCATGTTTTCCCGAGACCAGCCCCCGGGGGTAAGCTTGCAGCACGTGGGGTGTGGCTCTCTGCCTCTGTTTACTTACACCATGCGTGCTTTTTGCTTCGTCTCCCCTGGCTCGACATGAGTTGTCACACTGTGCTTGTAGACAAGTGAGCCTATTTTCAGGTAGCTTTCTTTCTTTTGTGTTTAACTTATTTCTCAGAAAAGATAAGACCTATCTGAATAAACGTATTTGTTGAATTTCTTAGTCAGTCACAGTGTGTTCTTCTCTCATTGCTTTTCTCCCATGTCTCTCAGTACAAGATGAATTCCTATGGTGTCCACCCCTACTACATGGGACTCGAGGAGGATGGCAGTGCCCACAGCGTGCTCCTGCTGAACAGCAATGCCATGGGTAGGATGATGCTAGTGCTCCCTCTGTTTGGGTACCAGTTGGTTTTGAATAACATTAGAATATGTGTGACCTAGCTACCCCTGAAGTCACAATTATTATCTTGTGAGCTGTGGGTTTTGTTTTTCTGTTTAGCATTCTGTTTATTTCATTCTGGTGACAGGTGATAATAAGATAACTCTTTGTTTGGCAAAAATCACATAGGAAGGGAAGACAAAACTAAGTTACTTCCAAATATCCTGCTGTTCAGCTAGTAAGAGCAACTATCTGACTTGAATAATTTGTAAATCTATGAGTCAGCACACTTAACTGTGGGATGTGATCGTATGCAGAAAATTTGTATGGTATGTATAGGACATCAGTGGAAAATCAGGATGTGGGGAGAAAATGATGAATCTGTACATAGTCCACATATGAGTTAACAATGTTTGGTCATTGCCAGCCTCCTGTTTGACAGCACATGGAGGTTAAATAAGGTCCTTACTGGGGAACACCCAAATCCTATGTACATGTGAACTCTCAGTTGTCTTTCTTTAACTTCCTGTGAACTGTAAACTTTTTTTTTTTTTTTTTTTTGGTTTTTCTCCGGTACTGGGAACCGAACTCACGACCTTGCGCTTGCCAGGCAGGCGCTTTGCCGCTGAGCTAAATCCCCAGCCCCAATTGTAAACTATTTTTAAATACAAGTTATAATGTTTTTTAAAAGCAACATTGCAAAACGTATAACATCACAATATGGAACATAGGAGAAACATAGAGGGATGAGACCCATAAACTATCACTTAAACTCTTTAATTCTTGTGGGTAAAGTGCGGAATATTTGCTCTCAATACTCTATAAAGAGGAATATGGATGCCAGAGATAATTCCTCATCATTAAGGTTTCCAGTTTGGTTGGCATTTTCTTATCTTTTCAGATGTGACATTCCAGCCCATGCCTGCCCTGACATACCGAACCACAGGGGGAATTCTGGACTTTTATGTGTTCTTGGGTCCAACTCCTGAGCTTGTCACTCAGCAGTACACTGAGGTAGGAGAATTGTTTTCCTTATTTATTTAGCCCTTTCTGTCTCCTAAAATCTGCATTCATTTTGTAAACGTCACATGATAAATGGAATCATTTTTCTTCCTCAGAGACATATATATTTTAGAGTAGTGGGAAGCAAGTACCTTGAATAACCATTAAATTCACAGCCTCTAGTTATTATAGAGTAGTAGAAGTAGTCATGCTAACATTGGTAGTGAAAAGGCTAGTGGTAGTGGAGGGTGCATTATTCTGGTTATAGTCATGGTGGTGATAAGGACAGTTGGGCTGGTAGTAGTGGCTGTGGGATTGGAGGGAATGATGCTAGTTTTGGTGATGGAGTAGCAGTGAAGTTGTAGTGGTGGTGAGGCGATGGTGATGATGGTGATGTTGGGAAATGTGATAATTTTGAGGGTGATGGTAACATGGTGGTTGTGGTGTGTTGTGACAGTGTTGGTGGTTGTAGAAGCAACAATAGGCTCTTATATAATAATTGCTGCATCCACTTTTTACTGCATGTCAGAGCGCTTTATGTAGATTTTCTCATTCCATCCTCATAAAAATACTAGACAGATGCTACTATTACCTCCAATATATAGATAAAGAAACCAAAACACAAAACAGTATTTCCTTTTCCCTAATGTTCACTGCTAGTAGGACATGGAGCTGGAGAACCATCCATTCATTTTTCCTTTGGGTTCTGTGCTCCTAATATATAAGTTAGATCTAATCTAAGAATTGAGTAAAACCAGATTTTCCAGAATTTTTACAGGAGCTCCAGTATAGCAGAAATCTTTCCTCGTGGTATTGCCATGGCTCTGCATCCTTTCAGTTCATCTCTGGATTTGAATTTATTAACTGTCTGACTGGAACACTTCATGTGTAACATTTATCTGGCCTCTTCTTTTAAAGGACTATTATTTTCTGTATATTTTCTAGGTTATTGGTAGGGCTGTTATGGTACCTTACTGGTCCCTGGGGTTCCAGCTCTGTCGCTATGGATATGAGAATGACACTGAGATCTCGAACCTGTATGATGACATGGTGGCTGCGCAGATCCCCTATGTATGTATGGGTTGTGTTTATTAGCTCTGTGATCTTGTAGCTAACTCAGATATCTCACTATCTAGATTAGGTGTGGATTTTTGTTATTTTCTAGAGGGAGACAAAGAGCTTTCTCACATGATATCACCCTGAGTCTCAGCCCAACACAGTAATATACATGGGAACCTTGGCTCCCATCTAGATCCTGTAGCACTGGTGGCTTACAGTTTCACAGTGGTGAGAGGGAGCTGAGTCCAGGGCTTTTTCTGCTGTATTATTCTTTCTTTCATTTCTTTACATGACTTCAAGGCATTTAGTTTAAAGGCCTTTGGTCCTATAAAAGTAAAAGATCCCCTAAGCTATAAGTTTGCTTAATTAAAAAGAATTAAAATGCAGTGAGACTATTGTATGTGGAGATGTATCCTCTGTTCCAGTGCCTGGTGGCTGCAGTTTGTACCCACTCTGGGTCAATCACAGGTCGACTGTGGGGATCCTGGTATGGGTTTCCAGGGATAGCACATACGCAAACAAACCTGAGGACAAGAGGGGCCCAATAATCAAAACTGACCCTGTGGACCACTTTTATATTTAAATTTATTCTCCTAAATGTAGACTAAATGGAAATTACATCACAGAGTATATCATCTTAGTAAGAAAGCTATGTCTGATTACCTCCAAGATTGGATGAGATATTTGCATACAAGTTTGGGGTTTTTTTGTTTTGTTTTATAGTAGATTTATGGTCCATATTGTGTTATGATTGCATAGTTCACATTATTTTCTGTGAACAAAAATCATTAATACCAAAGGTAGAATTCTGGGGGAGGTCAGCAAAATCACTCTTTGTATATTGGCAATTCTCAAAGCGCTTTCTCATGTGTTTTTATTTTTCATTGTAACAGCCCTTGCATATACACATTATCATCTTTTATCCTTTTGCTCACTTAGAGGTTTTTAGGTTTAATGTCTTAGTTACTTTTCTCATTGCTGACACAACATACTCAACACCTAAAGTTAAAGGAGGAAAAGTTTATTTTGGCTCAGAGTTTGTAGAGTTTTGGTCCATAGTCAACTGGATCCAATGCAGAGTGGCATGGTAGAGGGGCATCACAGAGAAGAAACAGTTCATAGTGTGAGAGGCAGAAGGTAACAGCAGAAGCAGCAGAAACAGCAGTAAAGCAAACCTCTTTTTCCCTTTTATCTCATTCAAGCTATGAGCCTTTTGGATGATGCAGCCTGCACCCAGGGTGGATCTCCCTATTATCCACAGCCAGAACTATAATAAACCACTTAGTGGACTAATCCAGTACACATACCCTTAATTCCAGTATGTCACCCTAGAGCCAGACACATCCAAAAATCGCCACCTATGAGTGTATGAAGATTTGGGGGGATATCTAGATACAAGTCATATCAGTTTATGTGTAAAAATTTGAAAAATTAGAAGAACTTTCTGGACATATATCAAAAAATACCAGAGTTGTGATTTGAAAGAGATAGAGAGAAACCTTTTAACTTCACCATCAGTATTGTATGGTTGCTCCCTTCTGGAAATGGATTGCACCACCCTCAGCCCCTGGGTTTCCTTGTGTCCTCCCACAGGACGTGCAGTACTCAGACATTGACTACATGGAGCGGCAGCTGGACTTCACCCTCAGCCCCAAGTTTGCTGGGTTGCCAGATCTGATCAGTCGCATGAAGGCCGATGGGATGCGGGTCATCCTCATTCTGGTTAGTCCTCATGTGAATGTGTGGAGTCACTTGGGCACTGAGTGGATTTGGTGGAGAACGTGTTATGCTATGCTTATTTCCATTTCCTTATTATGAGCACAGTAGTTGAAGGTGTATATTTCCCAGGGTCCACAGGAACTCTACAATTTGAGTGAAGGCTAATACCACACCCCTACCCCTCTTTTGAAAAGTTCTTTTTCCTGCCCCTTTGTCATTCCCTGGCTGTGGTTTTCCCACCTGACTTGTGCTTTGCTTTCAGGACCCAGCCATTTCTGGCAATGAGACGCAGCCCTACCCTACCTTCACTCGGGGTGTGGCTGATGACGTCTTCATCAAGTATCCCAATGATGGAGGCATTGTGTGGGGAAAGGTATGATCAAGGGGTGATCCCCCAATTCCCAGCCTATGGGAGCTTCTTACACACTGTTGATGTGTTTGTGTATTTTTCTTTTTGACCTTTTCTAGTACTTCACTTTTTAAATCAACATTTGTGGATACAGCTAGGGAATTTTGTGGAATCTACTTTTCTCCAAATGAATGCTACATGACAATCGAAGTATTATTAGCCCTTGGGCAATGGTTTATATTTTCTTGGTAGCTAGTATGTATGTTAAATTGTGTGGTGCATTTGTGTTAAACATTTATCTTTCCACAGGTCTGGCCTGATTATCCTGATGTTGTTGTTAACAACTCTCTAGACTGGGACAGTCAAGTGGAGGTAAATGCTCTCTGTGGATGGTGGGTGGGGTCGTGGTTGTCAGAAAGGGACAACAATCCCCAGGGTACTGGACATGTCATACAGTATGGACAAGGGAAGGGAGAAAACCTTTATGCACTTGGTGTCAGTTGTATGTGACCTACTTCACATAGTTCCCTTCCAGTGTCAATGCAGATTTAAGCCTCAGAGTGCTAAATTCCTCATCCATGATTTTAGATGACACTGATGATTTTTAACTCAGAGTTGTCAGATTCCAAAAGCCTGTGCAATTTTCACTTGATGATACCTCCAGAGAATGCTGTGTTTTCTCTGAATTCTTGGACTCCCTGATGCTCTTGTCTTGGATATCACTTTAAACTGGTTTCTAGCCTTTGTGATTGTGTCTCTTTCTCTGTACATTACCCTTTCATGGACAGGCTTCTCCATCTTGCCTTCCACACCCATCTTGACTTTAGTCTCTCATATTACCTTTACCTGTCATTTTCCAGCAATATAATTGAAAATTTGCTCTCTCATGGAAACAAGTACTTGTCTATAGTGGATCCAGGTATTCCATTCTTTTGGACCTAGAGGCCCCTACCTCCTGCTTCACTAAGCATTTGTTGCTTCAGTAAATACATGGTTTCTTACTGGTCCTGGAATCTTCAGTCCCTCCCTATGGCCCTGATGTATACTGAGTGAACCAATGTAGCCTTTTTGATTTGTTAGAAACTATTCTGATAATACCTGCGAGCAGGGATCACTGATCAGGAGTGGAGACTGTTTTGGAGAGTAAGTCTTACTATCTTTAGCACTTCTTCTACAATGATTATTCTTTCTTGATAGGAATTGTAGCAGGGCATGTGTAGCCTGCAAACCTCCATGGAGGAACTAGATTGTCAGAGAAAAGGTCTCTTTCCTGGGACACGTTATGGTGTCATTTCAGTGACTCCATGTGGCATTTTCATGGGCAGTGAGCAGGGATGCCTATAGCTCTGATTGCAGGGAATTCTTCATAAAGACTTATTTTCCCTTCAGTGCCAGTTATGAGAAACACTTCATTAGGGGGTCATAAGAGATTTGGGACTGTATTATAATTGCAACTATTTATAGTATTAAGACCCACATGAACCACATGATAAGGCTGGTGGGGATATGGTTATTGATATTCAGGTTTGGTGATGTAGAAGATAGTACAAAACAAACAAAAAGCCAAAAATAAATAACCAACAGCCAAGAAGTCTAATGATATATAAAGCCAACTTCTGAGTGCAAGCCTTGGAAATGTACTTCTGTAATTCTGAGATGGGGCCTAGGAATTTCATTTTGGTAGGGTGTAATAGATTGTGAAACATAATCCTGGGGCCAGTCATGTAGGTGGGCATGTCATTGGTTTAAGATCAGGGAAAGTAAAAGAAGTTACAATAAGACAAGAGTTGAATATTGAAAGAAGTGAGACAGTACCCTGGAGAATAGAAGGACATTTTTTATTACATGGATATAATTCACCAAAACAGAATTTAGTGAGATTAATAAACCATAGGTGGCTAAATTTTCAACTTGTACCACACAAGGAACAGTTCTGACTGTGGCACAGCTGATAATGACTGTTTATTCTAATCATCTACCTACCTGTTCCCAGAACCCTTTGTTTCTGACCCAGAATTAAGGGAGGAAAGTTTTATTTAGTTTTATTTACCTCATTGTCTGTGGAGGTTTCAGTCCATACTTGGCTGGCTCCAAGGCAGGGTGGCACATGGCAGAGGACAACCCTTTGTAGTGGAGGAAGACAGCAAAAGGAACAAGAGAAAAAGGGAGGAATGGGAACAAGCAGCCTCTTTCTCTCCCTTACTTATGCAAAACTACCCGCCTCAAGGCAGGTTTAGCACTCACACACATACCTCCAACACTGGACCATAGATCAATCATAAACTCCGAAAGCCCGCCTCATAACTGTATGATGCTTTGAGGGGACATCCAGACACAAACTATAAGAGTTTCCCTAAGAAACCTTAAGAGTTTCCCTTGGTAGGTGCAATAGTTATAACTATTTATATTAATAAGACCCAATTTTATGAGGCCGGTGAACTTAAGTTTACTGATGTCTGGCCTTTCTGACAGTTATATAAAACAACCAAAATGCGAAGAAACTCACAAAAAAGAAACTTCTTAGTTCCAAGTTTGGAGCTTTAATTCTGTAATCCTGGATGGGGAGCAGGAATTGCATTTTGGTATCATGCAGTGGATTAGGGTAAATAATCCTTGATCTGGTCATGCAGGTATGTGCATCCCTGGTTCATTATCAAAGTACTTGATGGCAGAAGCAATGAGGAAGGTTTGAATAGTGACTGAAGAGGGCTGAGCTCACACTAGGAAGAATGGGAGAGCATTCAGAGTGGGACTTAGTGAGTTTAATAAACAATGGTTGGCTTAATTTCTTTTTTTTTTTTTATTTAAGGATAAAAGGAGGGAAACATTAACAGACATACAACATTTTACAACATATCACAAGCACAATACAGACAATACAGAGTTCCAAACAAAGTGGTAGGGAATTAACAATGGTGGTTGTATTACATATTGATATCTTCAAAGTGGCTTCTCATGAAAACAGATATAGACATGCAATACTGGTCAACCAAAGACTCATTGACAGTTTCTTTCAGCATAGAAACAGCAGATAGAAGAACAACCATGTTATCTATCCTGTATATACATACATACAAAATTTCTCCTTCTTTCCCTTCTCTTTTCCCACATCCCAGAAGCCCTTTACTCTTCGGTGGTTTCCTATCATTTCACAGTGTCTATCATACCTCCGAGTTTAACTTAACTCTTTCAAGTTTTACACTAGTGACACAATGCGGTGCTTGCACATGTATGTTTGATTTATTTCACTTATGGGTATGGTCTCTAGTTGTGACCATTTAAATATAAAGGCCTCGAGTTTATCTTTCTTTACAGCTGAGTAATGATTTCTATCTTGTATCCTCTTAGTGATACATTTGTGAGTCAGACACAAGTGATAACGGCTGTTCATCCTACTTCTCCATTCCCTACCATCCTATTGTTTCTGACCTTGCCTGAGATGGAACTCTCTATAGTGAAAAGTTCTTTTCCCCTAGTTTTGTGGTTCCATTTCTTAACAGGATGTTTCCAAAGATTTCTAGTAATGTTGCACCTAGCTGTCTGAAAGACAGATGCATACAGAACAATTTTGTATTTTCTTCTTCATGTTTTTTTCTAGACATGTGCTTTCTACTTGATTTTTTTGTTGGTTCATCATATTGATCCTTTACTGTGTCAAAAGTGGTATGAGATAAAGGAGAGAAAGGAATACATATGCAGCTGCACATTTTATGTAATTTGGAAACTGTAGGAGTATAGATGCATACTAGTCTAATATCATGAGAAGAAATTGTATCCCTTCTTATTTAGTCGATGTTTTATTCTAACCTGGTACAGTACATCTCATGTCTACTGTTTCTCCTTATCATCTTTTGTCTTCTTGCCATGTCTTTAAGAAGAGATTAGAAAAAATCAGGATAGAACTTGAAGCTGAGCATCTAAAGCATCAGAGTATGAGTTCAGGCTGTTGTTGCCATTCATACTGATATGTAGAGGAAAACAGTCTGTGGGTGTTTTCCAGACTCTAGGGTATATGATTTGTGCTTACCTCTCTTCACTGCACTCAAAAACACTCTGCTGGCTCTGTTCAGCCTGTCACTATCTACAACCAGGTAGTAAAGTCTTTGCATGAGTTAAGTTCTAAGTAAATGCTTGTTTGCTGTCTAATACATTCACTTGGCAGAAATGAGTTATCTTTTGTTTTTATAGCAATACCGAGCTTACGTGGCCTTCCCAGACTTTTTCCGTAACTCAACTGTCCTGTGGTGGAAGAGGGAAATTGAAGAGCTCTACAGCAACCCACGGAATCCAGAGCAGAGCTTGAAGTTTGACGGCATGTGGATTGTAAGTGTGTGAATATGTGTTCCTGTACAGATGGATAGGTATGTGTATCATTATCTGTCTTAGCTGGTAGATCTTTGACCTGTAGGTGAGAATAAGAGGAAATGCTTAGGATGTATCAGAAACACTTGGTCAATCAGGAAAGGAAAAGGCCTGATACCCCTCATACCTTGTACCTTCCCCAGAGTTTCTGCTGTAAGTCCTCCTGGGCCACTACTAGGAAATACTTGCGACTTTGCTTGCTCTAAGGCAGAATTTTTTAACCCTCTGTCCAGTCACCATGCAGGGATTGAGTTTTCAAGCAGTTCTACCAGGATCGGGGAGCCTCCCTGGGCAAGCATCTGTAGAGATTCCTGGATTTTAAATAATTTATTCACTACTCCCTTGTCTCTGAGTGGAGATAAATATCTTTAAAAGAACTATGCCTGCTTGTTTTGTAGGATATGAATGAACCTGCGAGCTTTGTGAACGGAGCTGTCCCATCAGGCTGCACAGATGGAACTCTGAACCATCCTCCCTACATGCCATGTAAGGACCCTGAGCCTCCTCCAGCTTTGGATCCCTGAAGAGAAGTAGAATG